ACGTAACTGAATATTTCCAAAGTCACTGAACTGTACACTTTAAAAAGGTGAATTTTATGGTTGTGAAGTTGAACTCAATAAAGACAGTATTTTAAAATAAAGCTAGGGGCCAGTGTTGTGGTGCAGGGGTTCAGACTGCTGCCTGCTATGCCGGCATCCTGTAGAGCCCAGCTTGGAGTCCCAGCTGCTCCACTTCCAATCCTATTCATGTACCTGAGAAAGCAGCAGAGGATGGCCCAAGTGCTTGGGCCCCTGCAACCACATGGGAGACCCAGATGAAAGGTTCTCCCTCTTCTCTCTCCTATTCCTCCCTCCCTCTCTCTGTGACTCTGCCTTTCAAATGAATAAATGAAGTCTGTAGTGATGGGTGATAGGTAACACTGCTTGTTTCGGTGACCACTTGTTCTAAGGAATACTCCCTGGTCTACCCTAGCTCAGAGTGACCCTCCCCTGCCCTGAACACTTGTCAGCTGCATCGCTTCTGGTCTGCAGGGACCCAAAGGTGGGCTGTCCAGATCTTGACAGGGCCAGCACACACATCTGAATGGACTGTGAGGCTCTCTGGCCAGCTTCTCGGAGCTGACAGACCCGAGATTGACTACAAGACGCCATGCTCGTGGCTGTGTGGCCAGTCCCAGGCACCAGCCTGCTGTGGTTCCTGCTTGAGAGCTGAGGGGTGAGAATGCAGCAGGAGCTTCCTCACCCAACACCCCCACAGATGCTTCTCTACCACCCCCCCCCATCCCTCCTGGCCAAAGACTGCAAGAGGAAGTGACATGTGATGCGTCCGGGTCAAAGCAGGAAGTGACGTGTGTAGCTCCCAGGTCAAGGTGGTACAGAGCTCCTGCGTCCCCTTCTTCCCGCCTTTCCCCTTCAGTGGTGACCACAAGATGATGTGTTCGAGATGCTGGAATCCCAGGAGCCGCAGGATCCCCGAGGCACCCATGGAGAAGCACCCAGGAGAACTGGAGACCGCGCATGAGGAAGAAGGCTTGCTGTGAGAGGCCCCTGAGCCTGGGGCCCGGTTTGCTGTGGTGCTCCCCTTCGCCACCCCGACCAGGGCATTGCCTCTGAATGGACAGCCTCTGGTGAGGACCCTGGGCCCCTCTCGGCCTCTCACTACTCCACAGCCTGGAGACCCACAGGCCTCATTCAACAGCGGACTTTGAAAGCACAGAGGCGGGAGGGGTGAGGTGAATGACAGCACTGGCACTGCTTTCCCATGCGCACCTGCTATGTGCTTGCCGGTTTTCCCTGTGACCCACACTGCCTGTCTCTCCCACCTGGAAGTTGAGGAACCCGAGGCACTGAGGCTGCGCAGCTAAAAGAGGCCACCCTGGCTTTGGACCCGGGTCTGTGATCCTAAACCCCCCCCCCCCCCACCGACACCTGCTTCTCACTGAGCTCTGTGTCTCCTTCCCATGTGGTCTCCAGCAACTTTCAGCCCCATCCAAAGCCCCCGGTGGCTGGTACCCTGCAGCAGCCCCCAAAGTAAAGCTGGCTGTGGGTGGGCAGTGTCCAAGGAATGGGCTTTGCCTCTAGGGATGGACGCTTCCAGTAAGGGTAGGAAGGGTGGGAGAATGCAGCTGTGGCCCAAGCAGCGACGTCGAGTGGGGACTTTCCCTCCAGACAGCAGCAAATCACGTCAGACCCCGTGGGAGATCCAGCCAGGGATGGTTCCCCAGAGAGAGGAGAGGCGCCCACGAGGGGAGCTTCCCAGGCATCCTCTTGCCATTTCACTCAAGCGGACTCACACTGATTGAGAGCTGGGTGTCAGCGAGGGCTGGCACAGGCAACGCACCAAGAAGGCAGAGCACATCTTCCCTGTGCAGTGAGTTACAGCCCCGTCTCTGCAGAGTATGGAAGCGGCTCCCAAGGGGCACAGCGACGACCCGTCTCCTGTGCCATCTCTCCTTCCTGGGGACTTCCCCACCCACTCAGAGGCTCAAGACAGAGAGTCACCGGGGACTCCACTCACCTCTCATACACCCCACACCTGGATGTCACCCGGCTTCTTGGGAGCCATCATGCACATTGTGGGGTGCTCAGCACCCCCAGCCTCTGTCTATTAGATGTTAGCCGCACCCCTTCTCCATGTCGCCAATTACAAGTAGCTCCAGACATTGCCACATGTTCCCTCCCTGGAGGGCAAAATGCCCCAGACGAGAGCCAGGACTCAGCTCTGCCCGGGAACGGTCCCCCTCCTTCCCCTGCTCCCGTCTCTGCTCCTGCTCTCGGGTCTCTCAGATCTGACTCAGCCGCACCTCCTGAAAGCCTTCCCGGCTGCAGAGCTGGGTGAAGCGTCTCTGGGGCCCTCTGCTTGCCAGGGCACAGGTCTGCCATCTCCCGTCCCACTGCATAAACGGTGTGTGTGTGTGTGTGTATGTGTGTGTGGTCTGCGTTCTGCAGCAGGCTGCTCAAGAGCCCACCTCAGGCACAGAGGGGCGGCCACGGAACACAAAATGGACAGGCAGGGGTGCCCACCAGGAACGGACCCCAGAGGCTGTTTCTCATGGAGCCCCACAAATGATCCGTGTCCCATGGCCTGTGTAATGCCTGGAAAACGCTGCTTAGAGCAGAGATACGTGAGCAGCATCTTGAGGTAGGATCTGTGGCGAGGAGGGGTCTGGGCTGGGGGCTCTGGGAGTTGTCTGAAGGCCTCAGAGTCATTGCTGGGGTCTTAGCCTCTCCCCCTGCTGCACCTGGGCCTCTGCAGTACTGGGAAGTAAAACAGTCTCCTGGGCAAGCTACTATGGGCAGGGCCAGGAGGGCACTGCAAAACTTACTGTTGGAAAGCAGTCGACCCAAGGGACGACCCAAGGGACAGCCAGCCCCAGGCCCCTGGGCCGTAGCATATGGTGTGCCTCACATTTCAGAGATGGAGGTGAACTTAAGGAAAAACTGTTGGCTGGTGCAGAGACATTGGTAAAAGCATCTGGACTGATGGGACCCTGGGCCTCCACCCCTCCAGGAGGTGCTTTCGGACACTAACAGGCCCACATCTGGCCCTGGGTAAGAGCAGCCATAGAGGGCAGCTGCGTTTGCCCAGGGCTATGCGATGCCCACTTTGGGGCCAGCCTGCTTTGCTGCTGGAGGCATTTTACGCATTTTAATCCTGTCACTTGTGTAGGGTGCAGAAGGCCTTGGGCATCTCAGTGCACACAGAGAGCCGCATCTGATTGTGATGGAAGGAGAGACACAGCCGCAGAGGCAGGGGAGAAGCTGCAGGAGGTGAGTGTTTGGAGCCACAGGCCCCGATGGGGGCCTGCGGTACTGGGTATGAGGCGGGCCTCGCTGTTATGGAGGTGACCACAGCTCACAGAGGGTGTGGGGAAGAGGACACCTCCTGAGGCGGGGCGAGAGGTGTGGGAGGGGCCGGGACACTGCTGGCCAGGACCGCCCCTGGAGGCTGTGGTGATAGTCCACAGGTGACTGCCCTGTGGTGACAGTCCACGGGTGACTGCCCTGTGGTGACAGTCCACGGGCAGACTGGGACAGCTGCCACAGGCAGCTCCTTCCAGGCAGTGCGATGGCCGCAGCGACCTGGGTCCTGAGCGGCCGGAAGCCACCACGGGTCTCCAGGGCATGGGATGTGTCATGTGCTGCTCTCACCTCAGGCTCAGTGCCTCCCCTGGGGGGTCTGGTACGGAGGTCCCGTGAGGGAGCAGGGAGCCGAGTGGGTAGAACACGACGTGGGCTGGGGACACGCTGCTCTGGCACAGCAGGTAGGGAGGAGCAGGCCCTTGAGAACCCGGGCTCTGGGGCCCCCCACATGGCGCCATGCCCCTCCCCTGCCCGGTTCCCTCAGCCCCCGGCACACTGGGATATACTTTGGAAACCTCTGGTTCTTTCGTGTGTGCTGCTGACTGCTGCAGCCCTGGGCGGTGTGCTCTGCGGACAAAGCTTGCCACCCCCGCCCCTGCCCCCCACACCAGCCTCACACCACACCCCTGCCCCCCACACCAGCCTCGCACCCCCACCCCTGCCCCCCACACCAGCCTCGCACCCCCACCCCTGCCCCCCACACCAGCCTCGCACCACACCCCTGCCCCTCCACACCAGCCTCGCACCCCCACCCCTGCCCCCCACACCAGCTTTGCACCCCCCGCCCCTGCCCCAGCCTTGCACCCCCGCCCCTGCCCCCCACACCAGCCTTGCACCCCCGCCCCTGCCCCCCACACCAGCCTTGTACCCCCGCCCCTGCTCCAGCCTTGCACCCCCGCCCCTGCCCCCCACACCAGCCTTGCACCACACCCCTGCCCCTCCACACCAGCCTTGCACCACACCCCTGCCCCTCCACACCAGCCTCGCACCCCCGCCCCTGCCCCCCACACCAGCCTCGCACCCCCACCCCTGCCCCCCACACCAGCCTCGCACCACACCCCTGCCCCTCACACCAGCCTCGCACCACACCCCTGCCCCTCACACCAGCCTTGCACCCCCACCCCTGCCCCTCCACACCAGCCTCGCACCCCTACCCCTGCCCCTCCACACCAGCCTCGCACCACACCCCTGCCCCTCCACACCAGCCTCGCACCCCTACCCCTGCCCCTCCACACCAGCCTCGCACCACACCCCTGCCCCTCCACACCAGCCTCGCATCACTGCTGCTGCCCCTCACACCAGCCTCGCACCCCCACCCCTGCCCCTCACACCAGCCTCACATCACCGCCGCTGCCCAGCACTTCCGCTGGGCAAGTGTGACCCCCACCAAGGCCAGGCTGCCACCTGTCCTGCAACCACCACTGGGGTATGCATGGTGGGTTGGTCCTTGGAGGGGACTAGGCCCTCAAAAGCAGACTTCCTGCTCCTGTGGAGCCTGGCCTGGACTACCCACTCCACAACCCACCCAGCTCAGGCGCCTTCTGGGGTACACGAGGGTTGAGGGTCTCTGGAGACCCAGGCAGCCACAGCCCAGTGTCTCCTGGCTCCTGTGTCCCCTGGTAGGGATCCAGGGCCTCTCGTCTTTGATGGGCCTCCGGTGTCCAAGGGCCTCTTACCTTGGGGGTGAGGTACTTGGTCATAATCTCCTTCCCTTTCTCTCCCAGCTTTTCATCCGGGGTAACTTCATATTCTGCCTGAAACAAAAGTGGGAAGGAACAATGACAGATGTCCTCATGAGCGTCTCCCGGCTCCGAACCGTAGAAGTGCCTGCAGGAGACCCCTGACCAAGCCGTTCTTCCACAGCAGGGAAGCTGAGGTGCAGAGGGCGGGCAAGACCTGGCCAAGGCGCCCAAACTGCTCTGTGTCTCTGGACACTGGCTCTAGTACAGTGACTCCACTGAGACCCCGGGAAGCCCCGGGAAGACACTGGTGCCAGGCCCGCTGCAGTCGGACCCTCTAGGAGTGAGTGTGAGGGCTGGCGTCAGGGCGGCCAGGGCTGGGGACCACCGACTAGGATGAATCAGGAAACCACTGACCACCAAACCAGAGGGCAGGGACTGTCACTCAGACCTCACAAGCTGTGTGGCCCAAGATGCCGTGCATGACCTCTCTGTAAAACACACACGGGACTGGCACTGACGTGCAGGGTGACTGTGCACACAGCAGGGGGTGAAGCTCTCAGCCAGGGCCCAGCACGTGACAAGTACCCTGCAGACAGATGCCACAGTCGCCTCCGATGGGGTCACTCCACCTGGCCTGCAAAAGCAACGCTATGGCTGCCTTACTTTCGCTTTACAGATTTTCTAGAGGTTTCTATTGGAGCCTCAAAAGAGCCCAGGTCGTGTTACAGGAGGCCAGGGGCTGCCACTGCGCCCATTCCTCTGCGGATGGGGATCAGCAGGGTCTGCAGTGGGAAGCGACTTCTCCAAGGTCACACAGGGGCAGCAGCAGGACCGCAAAAGCCCAGACCCCGCTCAGCACCACCAGACTGTAGGACTGCGCCTCGGCAGCCGCAGGAACCCGAGCTCGACAGACGAGGCCTCCACAACCCAGCCGTTTTTATTTCCTGAGCTCCCGGGTGGGGGTGCGGGGGCTCCTTGACTCACGTCTGACGCACTTGCCAAGTGGATGAAAGGCCTTGAGTTAACAAGCAGCCTGAGTGAGCTTGCCTTTTTGATTTAAACAAAGGGACTAATTGCAAATTGTTTATAACCATTTCAGAATCCACCACCCAAGGATTCGGCCTCAATCCCTAGGCACAGCTATTTCCAAGGCGACGCAGGCACTGTCCAGAGCAGACAGAACTCCTCCTCGAGGCCTCTGCTGGGGCCCCAGATGCCCCGCCCACTTCAAGACCACCTCACACTCCCCTCGCCAGCCCAGAAGACCCTCCTGCACCCAGGGAAAGCTTAGGTGGCTCTTGGAACGTCCACAGAGGTGGCCGGGCTCATTCCCACCCAGAGAGCAAGCTTCCTTGTCTTCTGCTTCTACCACTCAGCCAGCATTTGACGTTTTCTCCAAAGGAAAAACATGAACACAGTGGTCGTTTGGGTCCCGGACCACAGGTTGGTGTTTCTGGAAGGAATCTGGGGCTGCACACTGAGGCCAGAGAAATGCAGGCCTCACCCACAGTCACACGGCCGGCGCTGGAACAGCAAGGACAGGTGCACTGGCCCCTGGACTCCACTGAGCCACGGGGTCAGAGCCACTCCCCAAGACCCTCCTCGGCACCAGGCTGAGCCTTGAGGGAGTGAGGATTTCCTGATGATTTATCGCTGAATTCTTGACGTGCCCTAAGGAAAGTGGCTCCTTGATTTTTTTCTGTGATTTTTTCCCTCTCTACTCCCCCTAAATCCTCTAAAACCGACAAGGACACTGACTACACAAGGGGTATTATTTTTTCCCAATTTGCAGATGAAGAAACTGAGATTCTGAGAGGGTCAGATACAGCAGGGCTAGTAAGTGATGGAGCCGGCAATTGTGTTCCAGAGGGGCCAAGCATTTTCCAGGGGGAGGCAAGAACGCTCCCAGCGTCTGCAGCGCCTCATGGCCCTGCCCCAGGGGAGCACAGCCAGCCTGCTTTGCAGGTCCCAGGCCTGTGGGGCTACTCAGCCTCACCCGGGCCACTGGACATGCGCTGTGACAGCGGGTCTCCCCAAGGCCCCGGGCTCACTCATCAGCCTCCATAACGCGCCAAGAAGACCATAGCTCTGGGATTCAAACAGGCGCTAGAAAACTAACGTCGCTTTCAGGTCAGTGGCTGCCTGACAGAGGCCCAGCTGGGTGGACAGACACAGAGCTCCACAGGGAGGCAGCCAGGAGCATGCGGGGACAGGCCTCCCGGCCCGGGATCAAAAGGCCATTCTTTGAGGAGTCTGCGTCAGGCCACTGCCACCTGAAGAGCATTTGTGTTGAGAGGCAGAAGCCGAGGGAAAGCCTCCAGCCGGGCTCTCGGCACCGAGCGAGTCACCTGGCGTGACAGGCCCTGTCTCCACGCTGGGGCTCCCGGATACATGTGTCAGGAGAGGGGAGCCCGTGGCAGCTTCAGGCAGATGGCACTGCACAAGCTGGGACCACCCAGAAACCACTGCCCTGGGAAGCCCCTTGGCCAGGAAGTGGGAGAAAGCTTTAAACCACAAGGTACGAGCACCGAGTGAGAGTTTGTGTCCCCGGCCCAGAATGCTATACTTCCACTGGGCTCAGGATATGGCAGCCAGTCCCCGTACAGGGAAGGCGCTGGGATCTCCGTCACCCAGGCCCCTCTCTGCCCACCCGAACCTCGTCCGTGCCCACAGCTTGCACCAACAAGCCAGAGCTCCGGGGAGCACCTGTGCCACTGCTCTCGGAGGGTGCTCCTCTACCCAGACCCATGCCAGATTCACAGCCTGAGCCCAGGGCTGGCCCAAGGGCATGTGTGGGTGTGTGTGTGCCTGCGCGCACATGTGCACTGCTCCGACACAAAGAGCAAAACCCTGTACTGAGTTTAAGGAACAAAGGACTCCTCCTCACGTCGGAGTGTCCGCGCCCATGACACCCTGGCTTATAAACTGAGTGCTTCATCTCCTGGCTGCTCTCACTGTATCATCACCCTGACAATGCCAGAGAAAATATGTCCTGGCTATTAAAACTCACTTCCCTCTGATGGTCTCCAGAACCTGCCACGTTTTCAAAGGAGCCGGCTCCGGTTTAAAGGGCAGAGTCCGAGCTGCAGTCCTCTTGGCCCGGCCTGACTTTCTATGTCACCTCCTTCTTCCTGGAGCCCTTCCCCTGCCCTGCCAGGAAGCTGAAGTCAGAAATGCCATGAGTCTTGCCATCTCTGGCTCCTCAATTATCGACACGGTCAGCTTTCCCAGAGTCCTCGAGGCAGGGGCAGGGACATGCCTGGAAGGCAGCACAGCTCCCCACGGCCCTTTCTGGCGACACCCAGATCCACCCGCACCGGCCCAGCATCTTGCTTGTGCTGACCACACGGCTGCCCTGCGGAGTCCCTTCCCACCCCTCCCCTCCCTGCCATGAGCAAGGAGGGCCGTGAGGCCACGGCTGCTTCCTGCTAGCTCGTTCCCCAGCTGGACACTGCAGCTCCCTGGACCCCTCTTTTGAAGACCCTGCTGCTGTAGCCTGGCCTCCCCCCACCCCACGCCACCCTCCACCTCCTGAGTCTGTCCCTCCCCTGTGCCTGCAGGATGGGAGGTGGTATAAAATGGCTCTGAGGCACCATCAGCGCTCTTTGCTCCCTGCTGGGCTGGTGCACTACAAACAGCCGTTCACTGAAAACGTCTCTTCATTCATGACCTGGATGGCTGTCTATTTCCTGCCAGGACCTTAGGTGGCCGGGCACTGACCTCAGCTTCCCAGCTAGCATGCGGAAGCCCTGCAGCAAGGGGTGCCCCAGGGACCCTGGCAGTCAGATGGGCCTGCTCAGCCCCAAAGCCTGTGCCTGCCAGCTCAGACAGACTGTCCTCCGACCCTGCCTTCCACCCGAGCGTGCCACTGGCCTACCTTTGGACAACCTGTGACACGGAACTAGAGAAGGGAGGGAAGAGTGCAGTCCTGACTACACAGGAACATAGGTCGAGGTAGGGGCCCTGGGCTTCCCCAACAGTACCACGGCAGCCAGCGTGTGTCCCACGTCCTGGCTGGAGGCAGGTACTGGGCAGAAGGATGAGAAAAGGGGCACCCAGCCTCTGGGCTCACAGGCAGTATCAGGTCCCTTCTGTCTGCCCCATGATTCTAAGAGATTCTGCCCTGACCAGTACCCTCTCCCCCACCCCTGGCCTAGCTGCCCCTAGAACACTTCTGCACCCCTACCCACAACTAAAGCTCAGGAGGATACCACACAAAGGTCTTTGATGCTCCCTGTCTGTGGCTTTCTGCGGTCCTAAATGAAAAGAATCCCAACTTAGCCCAGTGCAGGCTAAACTGTCATCTCCTGGCTTTCGGAATCCAGGGATAAGTTGAGCAAGAGAATGTGCCAGGCCCAGAGTCCAGGAACCAGGGACACTGGGCCCTGCTGGAACCCCTCTCACCCGTGTATGTGTGTGTGTGCACGTGCATTGCCTTCACGGTTCTCAGTGCCGACTGGCTTGGTCCAGTGGTAGCAAACATGGCAGCCAGGGGTTTCCAGCGTTTTGTTTGAGGTCTTCTGTACCAGAGGATGGCCCCCCGCCTCAAGTCTGTCAGGTCAGAGAAAGGATTCCTTGGCCACCCTGGCTCACGGGCTCAGCCCTGCTCCCATCCACTGCAGTTTAGGGGTGACATCGTTCAGAAGCTTCCCGATAGCAGGGTATCTGGGGACCTGGGGTGGAGCACCCACAGGGCTGGACTACTCCATGGATGTCTACTCTGAGCTCATTTTCGAGGTAACCCTGCTCCCAGAGTCTGGCTTTGCCAGCTGTTTCTCCCTCTTTTGGGGAGCTCACAGCAGTGACAGGGAGTCAGAGTTGAGTAGGTGCTGGATGTGGCCCCTAAGGAAGGGAAGTGGGAGAGTTGGTTCTCCTGGCGAGGCATTGCAGATGATTTTACCGTAAAATGCCAGATAATCGGGCACATTTAAAGCCAGGTGGCAGCCCACTGGCTTCCTCTGCGCTTCTATGGCCTTGGGTTACAGAACTGCCTGGAAGGCCGTTAGCATTTCCCGACTCAGGACTCCACGTGTGGCACCCTCCTGTTTGCAGTCACCGCGATGCCCGTCAGT